AGGGGCCCCCCCAGGGGCCCCCCAAAGGGGGGGGCCCCAATGGGGCCCCCCAGGGGGGGGGGCGCTGCAGCACCTGTAAGGCCTGCTACAGCCTGAGGGGACCCTATGAGGGGGGCCCCCACGACGGGGGCCCCCATGCGGGGGGCCCCCAAAGGCAGCAGAGCAGAGAGCGCTAGTCTTGCTGCTTCTGCAGCAGGTGGGAGGGGCCCCCACCTGCATGCGTCACAGCTGCTGGGGGCCCCCTCAGTACCCTCGGGGGGCCCCCAAACAGTGCCCAAGCAATTCGCACAGATAGGAAGGAAACGACAGAAACAAGAAACAGCAAAAGCAGCATCTTTGTCTTCAGCTACATCAGCAGCAGCAGCAGCAGCAGCAGCAGCAGCTGCAGCAGCAGTACCGGCAGCAGCAGCAGTACCAGCAGCAGCAGCAGTACCGGCAGCAGCAGTAGCAGCAGCAGCAGTAGCAGCACCAGTAGCAGCAGCAGCAGCAGTAGCAGCAGTACCAGCAGCAGCAGCAGCAGGGTCAGGATATGCTGAATCTTCCACTGTCCTGCTGCTGCTGCTGCTGTTGCTGCTGGCACCGATGCCGCTGCTGCTGCTGCTGCTGTTGCTGCTGCTGGAACCTATCCCGCTGCTGCTGCTGCTGCTGCTGTTGCTGCTGGCACAGATCTCGCTGCTGCAGCTGCTGCCGCTGCTACTGCTGGCACCGCTCCCACTGTTGCTGCTGCTGCTGCTGCTGCTGCTGCTGCTGCTGCTGCTGCTGCTGTTACGAAAGGGCCGTGGGAATGTATTTTTGAGAGCAGCTGCTGCTACAGGGCAGACCGTTCTCGGCGGCTGCAGCTGCAGTATAGACACCTCGCTGGGGGGCCCCCCAGGGGCCCCTGCTGGGGCCCCTGCTGGGGCCCCCCCATGGGGGGGCCCCCCGTACAGCAGCTGCAGCGCACAGAGCAGGTTGCCCCTTCTCAGCATCCGAGAGACCCCCAGGGCCGTGCAGCTGCTGCAGCAGCGGAGACACTCAGCCAGCTGGCAGGGGGCCCCCGTAACCCTCCTCCTTCGACTGCTGGGGGGCCCCGGGGGGGCCCCCGGGGCCCCTAGGGCCCCCAGGGCCCCTGGGGCCCCTGGGGCCCCCGGGGCCCCCCTGGGCCCCTGGGGAGAGGAAACCCCTTTGGCGCGTGCAGCCGCAGGGGCCCCCTGTGTAGAGCTAGTCATACGAAGCCTTGTATAGGAGCAGGGGCCCCCTTGTTGCTGGGGGGCCCCCGCTGGTGGGTCTGTTTCTGTCTCGTTAAGGGTAACGAGACAGAAGACAGAGAAGAAGAGGCTTTGAGGGGTGTAGCAGCAGCAGCAACAGCAGAAGCAGCAGCAATAGATACTGCTGCTGCTGCTGCTGCTGCTGCTGCTGCTGCGGTGCAGGTAGGTAGGGGCCTGACAGCGAGCAGCTGGGGGGCCCCAGAGCAGCTGCAGCAGCAGAGGCAGTGCGTGCGGTGGGGGCCCCGGGGCCCCTACGATGGTTTTGTTGAATAGAAGAATAAATAAAAAAGAAAAAGAAACACAAAAAATATATATAAACAGAGGAGAAGAGAGGGGGGCCCCCCAGACACACAATAGACAGGGGGGGGCCCCCTGCCTCTCCTCGCTGCAGCCTGGGGGGCCCCCCAACTCACATCCTTCTGCTGCTGCTGCTGCTGCTGCAGCAGCAGCAGCAGCAGCAGCAGCAGCAGTAAGCGATATAAACAAAAGATATGTTTCTTTGGTGTTGTTCTTTTTGCTGGTGTGAAGGGTTTGGGGCCCCCATGTATATCTACTAGCGGAGGGGCCTCCTGCATCGGGGGGCCCCCTAGCAGTAGGGGGGCCCCCACACCCACCACCAGTAAAGAAACGACAGAAAAAAATAATAAATAAATAAAAACAAACAAAAACAAAAACTATAGAGAGGATTAGAAGCCAAAAGGAATAAATAAACAGCAGCAGCAGCAGCAGCAACACCACCACCACCGACAGCAGCAGCAGCAGCAGCAGCAGCAGCAACAATAACAACAACCCCACCACCCCTTTGTTTGTATAAGAGGCTTCAAGGGCCTCAGGGCCCCCCCATGTCTCTCCCAGGCCCTCTGCCCCCCTCACCAGCCCCACGAGCAAGAACAGGCAGCAAGTACCCCCTTCTGCTGCTGCTGCTGCTGCTGCTGCTGCTGCTGCAGGGGGCCCCCCAGGGCGGCTGCTGCTTACGTATCATTAAACACAGCAGCAGCAGCAGCCGCGGTAATAGCAGCAGCAGCAGAAGCAGCAGCAGCAGACCTACGGCTTTCAGGGGGCCCCTGAGTGTGTGCTGTAGGGGGGCCCCCACAGCTGGGGGGCCCCCCAAAGGGTGGGGACCGCCTAGAGGTGGGGGGCCCCCCGTTGCTGCTAGGGGTCGGTCTGTTTGCTGCCTGCAGCAGCAGCAGTTCATTCAGAGGCCCCCTTCAACTGCAGCAGCAGCAGCAGCAACAGCAGCAGCAGCAGCAGCAGCAGCAGCAACAGCAGCAACAGAAGCAGCAGCAATAGCAGCAGAAATTCTGTCGCCGCTGCCCAGGGCGGTACCCCCGCATATAGAGAGGCCCCCCTACGCTCTGAAAGCAGAGGGGGGCCCCCCAGCAGCAGCAGCAGCAGCAGCAGCAGCAGCAGCAGCAGCAGCAGCAGCAGCATATGATGATGAGGATGATGATCTTCCTGCCCCCCTAACAGCAGAGGAAATCGATAGTAAGACACATGCTCCCTGTTGCTGCTGTTTTTGCTGCTGCTGCTGCTGCTGCTGCTGCTGCTGTTGCTTCTGCTGGTTCTGCTGCTGCTGCTGCTAGTATCAGTGAAACAGCTGCTGCTGCTGTTGCTGCTGCTGCTGCTGCTGCTGCTGCTGCTGCAGGGTTACGTGCAGCGTGCCGAATGGCTCGGTTTGTATTAGAGTGCGCTATGGGCTTCCTCTCCCCTCCTCCCCCCCATCAGCAGCAGCAGCAGCAGCAGCAGCACCATCAGCAGCACCATCAGCAGCAGCAGCAGCAGCAGCAACAGCAGCAGCAGCAGCAGCAGCAGATTGAGTTATATGGAAACGGTTATATATGGCGGGGTCCGCGTCTGGGTGTCTGGCCATCATCATGGGTATCAGCAGCAGCAGCAGCAGCAGCAGCAGCAGCAGCATCTTTGCTGCCTCTGAGTGGTTTGCTGCTGGACTTCTTTATACATACTTTGTCTGTCTCCTTGGGGGCCTACCCTTCTCCTCTTCTTTATAAACAATACCCCCGCAGCTGCTGCATCTCCCCTGATCATATACTGTGCCATGGTAC